AGTTTTGTACGATTGTACATTTCCACCAGCAATGTATAAGTGATCCAGTTTTTTTTATCATTCTTGCCAACATTTGGTGTTGTCACCTTTTCACTATATTTTATTTTAGCGACTCTAATAGTTATGTAGCGATATCTCATTTTTTAAAAATATGTATTTCCCTAATGAATGATGTTCTGGAACATCTTTTCAATGTGTTGGCTTGTCATTTGTATATCCTGTTTTAGTAAAATACCTGTTCACCTCTTTTGCTCATTTTCTAATTGGATGTTTGGTTGTTTTGTTTTGTTTTTGTTTTTTTACTCTTACACCCTTTCTATTTTCTAGACCTTTATATATTCTAGTTCTTTGACAGATATGTCATTTGTAAATAGTTTTCTCCCAGTCTGTAACTTGTCGTTTCATCTTCTCAAGAGACAGTGTCTTTTTCATAGAACAGAATTTTTTAATTTTAAAGAAGTCCATTTTAGGCAAGTCCGAAGATAGTGGATAACTCAATTGATTGTTCACAGTCAGTTATAGATAGAACTCCTTGTTTTATTCCTTCTCCCCTTCTCACTTCTGCACTTGACTAGTCTTACAAAAAAAAGTCCATTTTATTTATTTTAACATTTGTGGTTGGTACTTTGGTGTTAAGTCTAAGAAGTCTAGAAGTCTTTGCCTAGTCCTAGATCTCAAAGTTTTTTTTCTGTTTTTTTTTTTTTTTTTTTTTTCCTAAAAGTTAAATAGTTTGAGATTTTACATTTAAATCTATGTTAACTCTTTTCTGCAGAGTCAGTACATTCTATCTTCCTAGAAGTAGGGGATCTTGTGATGTAGTTTTATAATCTGCCCAAAATGTCTCACAAAAGCAGACATAGTAATGAGGATACCACATGAAAACAACAACAATAAGAACAAAAGAATCCCACAGGCAGCATGTTCAACATTCTAGGTGGCAGTGTCCCCATAACTCTCCCCTCATATTTGTGTGAGTGGCTGAATGATTAATAGCAACAAGACTAAAGGCAACTGTGTGGAGCAAGCAAAAGGAAAGGGAAAAAAGGCCTTAAGGTTCTAAGAGCTTGATCTTGGATGGTTCTAAGAGCACAAAAACCAATGAATAGTCATTTTTTAAAGAAAATGTTCCTACTTGAATTGGAGGATTCCATGAGCAGATATTTAAATAATAATAATTAGAACTGGTAGGGGCTGTATTAGTCTTTTCTCACACTGCTAATAAAGACATACCCAAGACTGGTAATTTATAAAGGACAGAGGTTTTTTTTTTTTTCTTTCTTTTCTTTTTGCATCATAAATTTTATTCTCCATGCAGGACAGATTTCTTTCATCCCCAAATGAATCACATGCTGCCCTGGAAAGACCTAGGAAATTCTCCCACCATTTCCAGGGAAGTAGTAAAAAAGGCAGGTGCTGGGGCCTAGAAGGCTTTGAAATTTTCCAGCCTACTTTTCCTTACCTTCTCAACAGAGAATAGCTGTTTTCTATTATTTCTCTCATCTACTCATCCCTTTAAAAACCCTACAAAACCATGATTAGTAAAAGAAAACAAACAAAAAAACCAAAACCCCTTCAAGTATTGGGGATTAGGAGTTCAGGCTGGGACTTGGGGTTATGGGTCACCAATGAAAGAGGAAGGAGAAGAGGAGGAGGAGCCATCACTGTTTCTGCTGCAGGGCTTCCTTCCTTGCTGTATCCTGTAGCAACTGTGTGGACCTTGTTTGCTGGCAACTGCACGTATCGGACCATTGAGCCCAGAATGAAGCAGTTCTTCACTGATAAAATGTGAGGATATTTCTCAGGGTCTGTGACAATGATGTCAGTTAGTCTGATGCTGAGATAACTGATCCACAGAATGGAGAGTTCCACAGATGCTCAGGTCATTCTTGAGTTCCACAACCACATCCTTGCCCACAAGGGACTTGAGAAAACAATAGAAAAAGCATGGTGCTGGTGCCATGGGCTAGAGCGGGAAGAGGGCAGGGAGAAGGAAAGAGGTTTAATTGACTCACAGTTCTACATGGCTGGGGAGACCTCACAATCATGATGGAAGGTGCAGGAGAAGCAAGACACATCTTACATGGCTGCAGCCAAGCAAGAGAGCATGTGCAGGGGATCTCCCCTTTGTAAAACCATCAGATCTCATGAGACTTATGTACTGTCATGAGAACAGCACAAAAAAGACCTGCCACCATGATTCTGTTACCTCCCAAGAGGACTCTCTCACGACACGTGGGAATTATGGGAGCTACAATTTGAGATTTGGGTCGGGGCACAGCCAAATCACATCAGGGGCTGTTCAGGTTCCCAGTGAGGATCAGAGAAAATGGATTGTTCTAGTTAGAGAATCAGTTATTAGTGATTAAAAAAATTATACAAATGTTTTGAATCATTTGAAGATCCCATTTATTATCCAGGGTAACATAAAGGTGAAATAACAGTAAGGCATAGAGTTTGCAATCATCATGAGAAATCATTTGTTAAAGTAAAGCTATTTCTCTAAACTTTAGTGTATATATATGACTTGAAATCTTTTTTCAACAATTTAACTTTTAATGATAGTTTAATCTTTTCCTTTTAAATGAACATAAAATGAATATGGTATCTATCAGGGTTTGTATTACTTTCATCTTACTGCTGTAGCAAATTGCCACAAATATAGTAGCTTTAAATAACACAGATTTATTCTCTTATAGTTCTGGAGGTCACAAGTCAGAAATGAGTTTCACTGGCCTAATGATATGCTTTTTATAGGGCTGGGTTCTTCTGGACACTCTAGGAGAGAATTTGCTTCCTTTGCCTTTTCCAGTTTCTTGACAGTGTCCTCATTACTTTGCTCTTGGTCCCAGGTTGCACTGCCTTTTCTTTCACTGTTTCCATGGTCACATCACCTTTTGTGACGTTGTTCATCTTGTCTCCTTCTCTTAAGTGTTCTTATGATTACTCTAGACTCATCTGGATAATCTCAGATAATCTGACATCTCTACATCCTTAACTTAATCATATCAGAAAAGTTTATTTGCCATGTAAGCTAACAAACACTACAGGTTCTGGGCATAAGGATGTGGTTATCTTTTGGGAGTCATTATTCAGCTGACCATAGGTTTAAGATAGAGTAAAATGTATATGGTTTATTTCCATAAATAAATGTTTTTGAATTATATTCAGATGTTCAGTTACTATTTACTTGCTTTGTTCCTTGTCATTTCTGATTTCATTCCATGTCATTTCATTCATATTTGAATAAAATTCAAAGTTTATTTTTATTCTTGTAAATCTTTTTAAAAATTTTTCCTGGTAGTCTTTATGAAATTTGTTTGTGTAAAATTACTGTAACAATACTACTTTAGAGGATTGTTATTTTGAAGAATACCTCCCTGTTGATTTTGCCCACATTTTTGAAATCATTCACCTTTTTGTGACAGATAATCCAGATCTACATGAAAAAATATTTTTCCACTTTACCTTGTGTGCTTTAAATTCTTTCTTGTATTGATGTCATTATTGGAGTCTTTTTTTTTTTCTTGGTAGATAGGAGATGCAAAGGGGAAACCCTCTGGAAGATTTAAGTACACAGTGGGAGCAGTCTTTTTCAGGACCTGGTTCTTATAAATTTATGTTCACAAAAATGATTGTTCTAAAAAATCAACTTTCTCTCAAAATTACTGAGAAATCAGAGATGCCGTTTATTATTTAAAAGGAGTGACTAACTAATAAACCAGCATGAATTTATCAAGAAATCTATGTGAATTTAGAACACAGCTTACAGATTTTTCAATGATAATGATATAAATGCTGATTACCATTTATTGAATTCCCTGGAGAGGTCTGTCTTCTGAACATTACTATGTCTCTTACAAATATTCTTACTCATTAGTTTTACTTTTCTTAGCCTTTGTTCTCTACTGTTTGTTAGGACACTCACCTGAAACTTGCTATAATAAAGAGATTACCACTTTCTTTATAGCAGTCACTGAGGTTGAACCCTGCTCAATTAAATTTAAATTTAGTTATCAAAATATTGATCAGCATCATATTTATAAATAAATCTCTGTTAGTGTGGGTTACTTCTGCCTGTGAATATTTATTCAGTTTATGTTGAACCTTACAGTTTCAAGGTAAGAATATTTTCTGACCTTATTTTCCAATTTTGACATTTTCTCTAATTTATAATCTGTTGTCTCTTACATATTAATAACTTACTTTCAGCAGTACATGGCACAGTCCTTTTTGGAAATTATTGTAATATTTACTGTGGGCTATTTCCAGAAGTGGCTACTACCTCTTTACCTGTGGCTTTAATGTGGGTAAATTAGCTTGAAATTCCCATTGAAGGCAGCTTCCAAGCGTTAAAAAGTCACAATAAGACAACCTGTGGCCTTGTACTGTACAGGAGGGATGGGGAAGTCTACCGTCTTTATATTGGTGATGTTGGAAAGATTTGGGGACCTTCGTTTTGCTCATTCTCCCAGTTATATCTTAGCCCTTAGTCCTTGTCATAGTAATTCCCCTGCCTCCAGACATACATCCCTCACAACATATACACAAGCTTGGTGTCCAGGCTGTCACCTTGATTTGATTTATTTTACCGTAGGCACAGATCTGACCCTAGTTATATTGTCTTTGATACTTAAAGTAAATTTAAGATTCTACTTCTGCCATTTTAATTTATTCTAGGCCCTACACTTCTCAATATAAGTGTCTACTCTGTGACATATATGGTTTAGCTAAAATAAAGTGAATGTCATAGATCATAATATATTTGAAAGCGTCTTGAATTTGGATTTGACTCCAAACATTCTTCTATTTTGTTAATGCTAGTGTTTAATAAATACTGTGATGACTTAAAGTCTGGTTAGTTTTATATTTTTTAATGATTTTAACGGGCTCTTATAAAAATGATATAAAAGAAAAGAAAACCATAATTTACATATATGAGGTTTCCTTAATGTCTTCTTAATGAAGTCAAAATCATTTATATTTAATTTATTCTCTTTTAGTATTGTGCTTTTGCTAAGCCAAAAACAGACACTTGAAGAACTGAAACAGTCAGTCCAGCAGCTGAGATGCACTGAAGCAAAGTTTTCAGCACAGAAGGAATTACTAGAGCAAAAAGTGCAAGAAAATGATGGGAAAGAACCGCCTCCAGTAGTCAATTATGAAGAAGATGCACGATCAGTTACATCTATGGTAAGCTAAAGAATAATCAATAAGAAACTTGGAAGAGTAGTGTCTAGGTAATAAGTGAACAGAAAAATTATTCCAGTTTGCTATAACAAATTATTACTCTTGTTAATATGCAGGTCCTATTAAACTTGTTTGTAAATGCAAAATAGACTTGTCGGTTACTTCCGGTCACCTGGCGATCACTTTCAGGAACTACCTGTAGAGTCAGAGGAAAACGATCTTCTCTTGCCTTCAAAACTGAAAGGAAAGACTGCAGTTATTTTTATTCCTGGGAGACAGCAGGAAGGTAGAGTCTTATTCTTTTTGGGTTTTTTTTGTTAGACAGAGTCTCACTCTGTCACCCAGGCTGGAGTCACTGGTACATCTTGGCTCACTGCAACCTCCGCCTCCCAGGTTCAAGCAATTCTCCTGCCTCAGCCTCCCGAGTAGCTGAGACTACAGTCCCCAGACACCATGCCCGGCTAATTTTTGTATTTTTAGTAGTGATGGGGTTTCACCGTATTGGCCAGGCGGGTCTCAAACTCCTGACCTTGTGATCTGTTCATCTCGGCCTCCCAAAGTGCTGGGATTATAGGCGTGAGCCACTGCACCCTTCTGGTAGGGTCTTATTCTTAACAGAGAAGTAAACAATAAGAAGAAAGCTGTTTATTAATTTTTTTCTTCTTAAGAAAAATAGAATCCTGTATATCTGAGATTGCTGGTATATTTGTTGTTTTTAAAATACAAAATACTTATTTAGTTTGAAAAGTTTTTTTCTGCTCATAAATGTGATCCTTAAACTACAATAAATACATTTAGATTCCCCAACTTGAAATTCACCTTAATTTGATAGTTCAAGACCATACTCTATGATCTTAGTTAATGGCAATGTTACCCAAAATAACAGCTCTTCAGTGGTAAATGCTTCTGTGGAAGAGTGCTTTAAGGAACTGTACCATTGAAATGTGCCATGCCTTGAGTATTCCAATAAAGATTTCAAATGATCAAATGTATAATCAGGGTTGGGGTTGTATAGTCAAGTTCTTAGATGTATTGATGTTTATTTTGGCTCTATAATTCAGTGAGAGTTAAAGTTCATTGCTATGGTTTGAATGTTTGTTCTCTCAAAACTCATATGGAAATTTAATTGCCATTGTTAGAATGTTAAGAGGTGGTACCTTTGAGAGGTAATTACATCAGGAGGGCTTCACCCTAAGGGTGTGATTAATGTCTTTATAGAAGAGTGAGGAGTGAGTTCGGTCCCCCTTTACCTCTTTGTTCTCCCCTTCCCCTGTCATGTGAAGCCGAAGGATTTTTTCCCTTTGGAGGATGCAGTGTTCAATGGTCCATCTTGGAATTTGGGATTGGGCTCTTTTCAGATACCACGTCTGCTAGCACCTTGATCTTGGACTTCCCAGCCTGTGGAACTGTGAAAAATTGATTTCTTTCTTTTTTTTCCCTCATAACTGTACTAATGAGGAAATAAATTTCTGTTTTTTATAAATTACCCAGTCTTAGGTATTCTGTTATAAAAGGACAAAAATGGCCTAAGACACCTATCTATTAATTTACAAATATCTAAAAAATTTGTAGACAGAGATAAATCATCTTCATCAGGACTGAACATCCCTCTAATGTTGTCTTTCTTCACATTAATCTGCCCAAGATACAAAGGAGAAAATGATTAATTTTAAGTATTGCACAGCAGTTCACTATTGTCTGTGGGTAAGTCTATTTCATTTATTTACTCAGACAGTCTTTATTGAGTACCTACTGTGTACCAAGCACATTTCTAGGTGCATGGAATACATTAGTGAATAAAACTAATAAACATTCTTATCTTTTGGAGGTTAATAGTCTGCGATGAATGGCAGTTAATAAGTAAATTATATAGAATGTTGGAAAATAAGTGGCAAGGAGTAAAAACAGAGAAGGGTGAGAGTTTGGGACCCAATTTTAAATGCAAGTCAGGATAAGCATCATTGAAAGGGTGACATTTGAAGAAAGACTTGAAACAGGGAGCTAATAAACTACTTCAATTTTGGGGGGAAAGAACATTCCAGCCAGAGGGTGTATCTGTTACAGAGAGTGTAAAACAAGTGCATGTCTTTACTGTTCAAGGTTTAGCAAGAAAGTCTAAGTAGAAGGAAATGTGGAAGTATGGGGAATGAGGTTAGAAAAGTAATGGAGAACAGATCTTGGGGCCTTGGATTATTAATTTTCTCAGAATGAAATAGGGAGCCATTGGGTAGGAGGGTTATAACAGAGGAATGATACGCTCTGACTTTCGATTTAAATTGAATAGCTATGGCAACCGTGTTGAGAATAACCTTAAGTGCGGAGTGATGATGGAAAAATGAGACAATTGCAGTATCTTATGTGATAGAAATGACAGCTTGAGCAGGGGTGGCAAGGTAGCACTGTTAGTCAGAAGTGTTTAGTTCCTGCATATATTTATTGTGAAGCTTGAGGCCATGAGATTTTCTGTGGATGTGGAGTGTGAGAGAGAGGAGTCTACAATGACTTTAAGGTTTTTAACCAGAGCACTGAAGGAATTAAATTGGTTTCAAGTGTGATGGAAAGACTACACATAGAGCAGCTTTGATGAGGAAGATTAAGACTTCGGTTTGTCTTTCAAAAACGACAAAATTTTTTGTAATTTTGGTAATCGGGCCTGGAGTTCAGGAGTATGATTTGAACTCGAGATATAAATTTGAGAGTTGTAGACATTAGATGGTACTTAAAACCATTTGACTATAAGAGGTCATCAAGTGAGAAAGAATAGAGAAGAAAAGAGAAACAAAAATTGAAGTCAAGTTAAGAGGTCTAGGAGAAGAGGAATCCATAGAAGAGACTGAAAAGGAGAAACCAGTGAAAGAGAAAATGAAGATAATCTGGTGTCCTGAAAGTCAAGTGAGGAAAGTATTTCAAAGCAGAGAGGGTGATCCATTGTATTTAATGTTGTTGTTGGGTGCAGTAAGGTGGGAACTGATTGTTGAGCATTGGAGTTAGCAATACAGAGGTCATTGGTTAGCAGTTTTAATGGAATGGTGGGGATAAATCACTGATTAGGGTGAGCCTAAGAGAAAGAAAAGAGAATGATTGTCTATGGTGAGCATAGACATATTTTTCATGGACTTATACAGCAAAAGCATAAAAAAAATAAGACAGTAAATTTGGGAACATTAGGGTATTTAAGAGGAGGAAAAATTATTATATCTGAATGTTAAAGGTACAGTCCATTAGAAAGGGAAAAACTAATCATTTTGAGAAGAAATGATGCACTTAGGAAAAAAAGCTAGAGAGAAGGTATTGCTGTTTCCCAGGTTGGAGTACAGCAGCACAGGCATGGCTCACTGCATCCTCAAACTCCTGGACTTCAAGTGATCCTTCTGTCTCAGCCTCATGAATAGCTAGGACTTAAGGTGCAAGCCACCATGCCTAATTTTTATTTTTCAATTTTTGTGGAGATGGTGTCTTGCTATGTTACCCAGGCTGGTCTTGAACTTCTGGCTTCAAGTGATGCTGCTGCCTCAGCCACCCAAAGTTCTGGGATTATGGGCGTGATTCACCATTCCTGGCCCAGAATAAATGTCTTAATAAGTGAGAGAAGATGGGATCTAGTATCCACATGGATTGGCTTTAATATTGACACAATAATTGGCAAACAGGATGGTAATTCCTAATATGTGGTTGGGGATTTTGTGAATGTCCTCTTCTGATTGCTTTGTGTTCTCAGTGAAGTAGAATCAAGGTCAAGGTCACTGGATGAGAGTGAAGATGAGGGAAGAGGGTACTGAATGTTTGAAGAAGGTGGGAAATCATCTAGGGGACTGGAGAATGAATGGACTAGGACAATGCAGTGTGATTGCTGAGTGTTAGTAATGGTTCACCTAAGATTGTGGTTCTGCACAGTACAACCAAGAATATATGGTGGGTATGTAGTACTTGGATCATAAGTTTAAGGTGGGACTTGTCAGTATGATTGTACTTTTTTCTATCAAGTGCATTCATCCATCCTGGTATGATGCAGAGTGGGCAGAGAGTTGGATTTCTTTAAAGTTATGGTTATAAGTATGATGAATTAAGTAAGAGAGGGGAAGAGGAGGGAAGATGCATGTAAGAAAGTGATTATAATGATTAAAGAATTAAAGCTGTATAATAGGTTCACTCTACTTCTCTGAACTTAAGAGAACTTTCTAACACTTATGATAACTTTGGAAAGATTAGTCTTTTCTGTTATGCCATCAAGCTTATAGACCACTGGAGGGGAATACATTCATTTGAACTTTGACAATACTCTATTAAACAGGAAAAAAATGACCTATAGGAATACACATCTTTTTCCTGTAGATAGTTTTTGTGGTAAAGTTAAAAAAAAAAGAATACACATCTTTAGAGCATTTAGAGAAAATATCTTTGAGGCCATTATAATTGCAAAAGGAAAAGTGCAGTGATAATTCATGGAAAGTTTTCCTAGCAGTGTCAGTCGTATTTATTCTGCTAGGCTGGCAATAGTACTAGTCTGAGTTTTGTTGTATTGATTTGATTCATTAGATTAGATAACTTCTTTATTTTCTCTGTGTATTTCCCATTAGTTTGTGGGATGTTAAGAAGTGTTCCATGGAGAAGTGAGTTGCAGAATTTGAGTCAGGTTGAGTGAAGCCAAAAGAAGCAGTAATATTGACTGCAGGAACTTTCTAATCCTTGACTGTTAAATGTTCAAGAAGGGAAATAGTATATGGAATGCACTGTTTCTGAAAATATTGCCCCAATTCCCTTTCAAGGAGGCTTCTGAGGGGTCTGTAGTATAATGCGGCATACTTTGGGAAATGCTGAGCTGCAAGAGAAATTCATTCTTGTTGAATTGGGATAATGACAGATTAAATGTCTAATAATTCTGAAGACATTTTGAATTGCTTATGTGTTCTGTGAACTTAAGGATTATTTTATATACTATTTGAATTCTGACTCTTTGGGGTAGAAGAATCTGCCTTCTGGGGAAAATTAGGAGGGTAAACTCT